GCGCGTCAAGAAACAAGTCAAAACTCTAATCACCATTGGGGACGATTCCGAGAATGATCCGACCATGATCCGACCATGACCCGAGACCGTCTCGCAACCGTCGTTCCGCGGAGCTTCCCCGTCGAGGTTCGGAGCAGCATGGAGGTTCACAAAGTGCTGCGCCTGCCACGAACTCTGCACATGGAGGTTCACAAAGTACTGCGCCTGCCACGCAATCTCACATGGAGGTTCACAAAGTGCTGCGCCTGCCACGAAACCTGCGCTTCGAGACTCACAAAGCGCTGTGCCCTGCCACAAAATCTGCACTTCCAGGTTCACAAAGTGCTGCGCCTGCCACGTAAACTGGAGCTAGAGCTATTGAAACCAGAGCTAACTGGAGCTAGAGCTCTTGAAACTAGAGCTACCTGGAGCTAGAGCTATTGAAACTGGAGCTAGAGCTCTTGAAACCAGAGCTAACTGGATGATGAGTGGTGTATTATGAATGGTGTATGATGAGTGGTGTATGAAGAGTGGTGTATGATGAGTGGTGTATGATGAGTGGTGTATGATGAGAGGTGTATGATGAGTGGTGTATGATGAGTGGTATATGATGAGTGGTTTATGATGAGTGGTGTATGATGAGTGGTGTATGATGAGTGGTGTATGATGAGTGGTGTATGATGAGTGGTGTATTGATGAGTGGTGTATGATGAGTGGTGTATGATGAGTGGCGTATGATGAGTGGTGTATGATGAGTGGTGTATGATGAGCGGTGTATGATGAGTGGTGTATGATGAGTGGTGTATGATGAGTGGTGTTTGATGAGTGGTGTATGATGAGTGGTGTATGATGAGTGGTGTATTGATGAGTGGTATATGATGAGTGGTGTTTTGATGAGTGGTGTATGATGAGTGGTGTATGATGAGTGATGTAAATGTTCGTAACACGGAAGTTCCTTCTAAACTTCCTTTGAACATTACATTCTGGAGGCTCTTTTCGTTTTTGCGTTCATTTCTTTCCATTCCCCGTTAGTTGTGCATTCCTGTCCTCAGAATTTCCTTCAAAAGGTGATACGCTCAAACCGGTCATGCAGGTACCCTCCCAAGTGACCCAAGCGGTCGCAAATTGTTCACGGAAAATGTAACATTACACGCTGAAGGCTCTTTTTAGGCACTTTCTTTCGTTGCCTAGCGCTCACGCACAGGCTTCAAGATTGCAATGAAAGGTTGCAGTAATTTGGTTGGAAACGAACAAGGAATCGAAACACGCGCAACATGAAAGGTAAACCAAACGAACCGAATAAGCAATGAAAGGAAATGTCTCAAGGGGGAGAGCATTTAGCATTTAATGTTACATTTTAATCAATTAACAAACCCAGAAAATGTAACTGAGCTAAATTTGCCAGAACGTGGGGGGGACCTCTACGCTTCCATCATTTCCGTGTAAATGTTCAAAGAACCGTAAGCTGGGGGGTCGAAAATGTACCATTACACTTTTGACGCTTAAACAAATGCGAAGGTATATAAGTTATACCATATAAGCTCTATTGACCTTTAGTTTTCAATCACTGCTAAAACTCACTGTGGCTGCGGCAGAAAAAACAAAAAAATAAGTCACAAGCAACGGTCCAATAGAACGGCTTCTCAAAGCAGTGCAGCGGTGTCAAAATGCAGATTGAATCCAAATACAGCGCTGAGGCTTGCTGCAGCCATATCATTTTGTTTTGTTGGCTGTAGCGCTACGACATTCCTTCTGCCCCCTGCCTTTGGTGGACGCTGTGAACCCCTTTTACGGAGGACGATATCACATACTTAAGAAGGAGCTCATAAGAGCATAAGTTCATGGTGGTACCAAGATTGCGCTAACACTTTATGATCTAGTTACTGCGATACCCAACTAGCGCAAAACGACCTGTCCTGAACCACACAACGGCCACGCGCAAACAAACCGCAAGGCGCAACAGTGCGGAACAATATTGTTTAACTCATATAGCAGGTGCACAATTTGGCGCCCCACATTGCTTCACCACGAGCTGACAGCGTCTCCGTTGGGTAGTGTTTGTCAGTTGCGCACTACCCCCTGCTGGGGCGAACACTCGCTTGCTTGTGCACCCCCCAGGATGCAGGTGAGTGTAAGAGATGGTTTGTTTGTTAGTGCTTGGGTGTGCTGCGCAGGTATGTGTAAGGTATGGTTTGCTTGTTAGCGCTTGAGTGTAGTGCTGACGCACCCACCCACCTTGTTCGTTAATGCTTCAGTGCAGTGCGGATGGCCCACCCCGGCCAGCGCGAGGATGCAGGTGAGCGCAAGATATTCTTCGTTCGTTAGTGCTTGAGTGTAGCGCTGATGGCCCCACCCCTCACCCCCCAGGATGCAGATGAGTGTAAGATATGGATTGACTATTTAGTGGTTGAGTGTAGTGCTGATGGCCCCATCCAGGCCAGGTGAGTGTAAGATACGGTTTGTTTGTTCCCCAAAAAGCATGGTCACACTGAGGGTTTCTTACGGGAGGGGTTAAGGGCCGGTGCGCAATCGAGGTGTCGCACAGGCGTGTCCAGCTAATTCGTTGCGATTTCACACCTCTCTCCAAGTCCTTGAAGTGCATTCAAACTGCGCAGGGCGCGGCGGGCGCTTGTTGCGACTGCGCTCTCGTTGTGGCGCCGCGCGGCTTTTCGGACACGGCGGTGGGTTTTCGTGGCAGGCACAAGGGAAACCTCGTGCTTTGGTGGTCCAAAGTCGATATTTTGCGAAAGAGAGGCGCAAGGGATCGGAGCGGCTTCACTTCAAAATCTTCAAAATGCAGATTTCGTGGCAGGCGCAGCACTTTGGCTATGGTGATCTTGGACGCGCTCTGATTTCGTGACAGGCGCAGGCTTTTGTACTTCCGCCTTTTTTTAGAAATCGTGGCAGGCGCAGTACTCTGTCCACCTTGAAGTGCAGACTTCGTGGCAGGCCCAGCATTGTTTGAACCTCGGCGCGCAGATTTCGTGGCAGGCGCAGCACTTTGTGAACCTGGAAGTGCAGATTTTGTGGCAGGGCACAGCACTTTGTGAACCTCGAAGTGCAGGTTTCGTGGCAGGCGCCAGATTTCGTGGCAGGCGCAGTGCGTTGTGAACCTTGATGTACAGATTTTGTGGCAGGCGGAGTACTTTGCGACCTTGAAGCGCAGATTTCGTAGCAGGCGCAGCACTTTGCGAACCGAAGTAACCGAAGTGAAAATTTCGCGGCAGGCGCAGATTTTGTGGCAGGCGCAGCACTTTGTGAACCTCGAAGCGCGATTTCGTGGCAGGCGCAGAACTTTGTGAACCTCGAAGCGCAGATTCATGGCACGCGCAGGACCTTGTGAACCTCGAAGCGCAGATTCATGGCACGCGCAGCACTTTGTGAACCTCGAAGCGCAGATTTCGTGGCATGCGCAGCACTTTGGGCACCTCGACGTTCTCGATCTCAAGGCCTCTAGATTGCATTCTGCGCTATCTGTGACGCGTGCTCTCGGATGCTCACTCACTCTGTCATCACTCACTCACTCACTCACTCACTCACCCACCACCAGCACCACGATCTCCACTTTCATCACCACCACCATCATGTCTGCAAACAACGCATCTAGATCTCTAGACTTTCTGCTGCTACGCCTCTAGACCTCACACGCACTTTTTGGGGCACCCCCCCCCCAGATGCAGGTGAGTGTAAAATATGTTTTGTTTGTTATTGTAGCGCTTGAGTGTAATGCTGACGGCCCCTACCACTCCTCACCCCGCAGGATGCAGGTGAGCGTAAGATATGGTTTGTTTGTTAGTGCCTGAGTGTAATGCTGATGGCCCCACCCCCACCCCCAGGATGCAGGTGAGTGTAAGATATGGTTTGTTTGTTGGCGCTTGAGTGCAGCGTTGATGGCCCCGCTCCCCACCCCGGAGGATTATGGTTTGCGTGTAAGTGTTTGAGCGTAGTGCTGATGGCCTCACCCCCCACCCGCGAGGATGCAGGTGAGTGTAAGATATTCGACGTTTGACCGTTTTTTGTTTTAGTGATGAAAGTGCAAGTGAGTTAAGGCGTCCAAGTGAATGTTTTGGGTGCGCAAGTGAGTGCGCAGCGGCCTGCTGTGGTGTCAATGAACTGTCAGTGCATTGCAGGAAATATCCTGAATTAAAGGGAGGCCCATGGAGACGGGGCGTGACACACACTTAGTTTCGAAGATCCAGAGTTATTGCAATTAGACCTTGGCTGATTCAACGGCAAGAAGTGATGGGTCGGCAGGACAGAATGTTTTAGCAAAGCGCGTTCGGAATGAAACCATGTGTTCCAGCTGCATCTCAAATGTGCCCAAGAGCAACGTCAAGCAGGTACAAGATACTGCGTCCAGCATCTCATCCAACAGCACGGCTAGGTGAGCAGTCGCCGTGCCCCCTGCTTAGACTATACAACACACACTGTCATGCCATGTTTTCCACGCCTGTGGAAACCTCGTCACAGTCGATTCAAGTAGCAACACTCACACCGACCCACTGCATTTGCAGTAGTGACAGGGATCAACTGCTGGTTCTGCTAAAGGTAGCACAGCTTGTTGCCTATAGTGCTTTCTGAAGCTTATTCAAAAGCCGCCTAGTTTTCCGTTGACTGACTGACCGCTCCACCACTTTGCCAGCGGTAGAAACCACCCTCTCTTGCAGGCTGCAAAGCCCACACAACCCAGATCAACCCCGTGTGACATCCCGCATCGGGATGCAAAGAACCCGCATTCCCTCTGCAGCACCCTCTCCCACAACAGCAGCGAGCCCGATACATTGTTCCTGCTCCATTTGGGTTTCTAAGCAAGAACAAAAGGCTCGCGGCTGCCGTAGGCTTCCGCGCGTCACCCGCCTGGTGGATACTCGTCCACTGGCCTTTGGGCTGTGCGTCTTAGCAAGGTATCCTTTCTCTTTGTTGTAGATGAACGCTGACTGAAGCACACAGTATCAGAGGTATTCAAAGATGCTGATCAAAAGAATGAGAAAAGATGTTGAAGCATTGTTCAGCTCCAGCAGGATATGACTAAAGCTGCAACCCACCCAAGGCGCAAATCAACTGATTCCACGTCCGCTGCCATCATGATCCATTCACACAGCAAGCTTTGTCTTGCGCTGTGAACATGTACAAGCTCGCCTTGTGTTCAGGACACTTGTGTTCGTTTCTCCATTCAAGGACATTTGTGTGCACATGGCTTTTGTTTTTTTGGCTTTTGATGGACTTGTTGTGCGATGTGCTTCTGCCAGGCTCGGAAGTTCGTTGGTCGGCTAAAGCTTGGGAAGGCCAGTGAGTTTTGACGGCTCAAGTCATTTCTGCTTGGAAGCCTTGAGAGGCTACAGTAAGAAAGCATCCAAAGGCCAGAAAGTTGGCAGGAATTTGAATGAGAGACTCCTCCAAATCTACATTTAGGTCCAACACAGGGACTGGAGAGGACAGCTGGGCGCTCAGAAAAATGAACACAATACCGACGCGTCCACTGTTAGACAGCGCAAGTCGATCGGAATCACGCGACAAGCTTGAGGCCTTCACGATCGCTTTGCTCGAAGGCCCTCAAGAGAATGATACGTTTTTGGATTTTGTTGGCCCGCCCTGCCCTCCTAGTACTTACTGTAATGAAGTAGGCACCTACTCAATTAAGTAAGGAGTTAGCTTCTAGTAACTGGACGCAGGATAGCTCACGCTTGGAAGAAGCACTCGCACTATATAATGATTTGGTTCCTAGACCTTCCGACAGTTTCCGCAGGTGCGGCGGGTGGCAACACCTGCGCGATCTTCAGCCTGGGGCTTTCGTCACTGAAAAATTAAGATGTGTTTTGTTTTGAGTCGTCTTAACAAACATTGATTATTCTTGATTGCAGTAGGCAAGCGTGACAGCAATTCAAGGACTGGCGAGTGGACTGCAGACCAGACGCAGCGGGACTGGACCCTGAGGCCGGTCCCTGGTGATCCTTTGCTTTGCCTGGGAGTTTTCTTGGATCCTTAGTTTGTTTCCTATCGAGCAAGCTGCGAACCAAACAAAGCGTTTATCAGCATATGTCGCTGGTGTTTGTGTTCCCCACCTGCCGGCGAGGGTTGTTAGATTTTATCAGAGCCTTCTCCTTCTCCTCCTTCTCCTTCTCCTTCTCTTCCTTCTCTCCCCGCTCCTCTTCTCCTTGACTACCGCACCTCAGATCGCAGCGGCAAGTGCGAGATCGCAGTGGGCACTACTGGACCTCAACTACAAGTACGAGATCGCAGTGGGCACTGCCGGACCTCAGCAAACACCAGATTGCAGTGTGCGCTACTGGACCTCAACCGTAAGCGCCAGATTGTAGTGGGCGCTACCGGACTTCAACTGCAAGCGCCACATCGCAGTGGGCACGAGACCTGAACGGCAAGCCAGATCGCAGTGGGCACTACCGGACCTCAACAACAAGCTCCCATT